CGTAACTTCTGTAACGCGGGGATTCATAAAATATTTAAATAATATACGTTGTATTTTAAATGTTTTACTCGATTCTTCAAAAGAAACGGATGTTTTCTTCATAGTCTCGAATAGAAATTAAAATTCAATCGAAGTATTAGTAAAGTTACGCGTAAAGAAATATCGTGTCCATCTATTTCAATTCGAAGGTAGCAGACTGCATGAAGATACCCGTTGATCCAGTTAATAAAAAATGCAAAGTTTCTAAAGCAGTTTTAACTTCAAGTCACAGTTTTTCCCCGTCTCGAGTATCCAACGCAGTTTCATAGACGCTATTTTTCATCCCCAACCACGCTGCATTTTTCTCGGGGTATAAGGCAGTCCGTATTTCTGAAAAACACGGTTCCCGGACTCCCGGTTCTTCCCCAGCATTTTCCTCCTGGTTTTTACGATTACACAAGCCTGTACACCGAGACAGTCCGTTTACAAATTATCTCTCTCGCGATGCTGCGTAAAGAATTAATAAAACTAACAAAGGGAGGTCTTTCCTTTTGTTTGATACACAATATTCGCGAATATCGTTCGTATCGTACGTACGAAAGACTAATTCTTAACGTGGAATTTCTTTCGGGATAATCACTGCGGGTGCCCCAGGGAAACTGTTCGGAAAGCGTAATGGGACTTAATATTCCATCCGAGTTTGACTTGACCCCGAATGATTATTATCTCGTCGGTAGACTGAAAACAAACTTGTTCCTGGGATCCACCTGGAAAATTATGCTCTCAAAAGTTAAGGGTTATTTTCCAGCACAAAGGCTCCGGTCGCGTACCTGCGTAAAACTCTCCGACGGGCGACGCCGTAATCCTAAATATTCGAAAACAGATTAAACCACCATCAAAAGACTTCGTTAACCGTTTTGTTATTATACAGAGGCGCACAACGTATTTTACAGGACATTCTTCTCGGAATATTTGCCCAGAGGAGATTGTTCGCAATTTTAAAAAGCTAACGAAGAAAACTATCAAGTATGGATACGGATAAAGATTGGATAGTCGAGAGGCTGCTGTATCTTCATCGCGGCGGAAGATCGATCGGAAACGGCGATCTTGTTGGCGCGATTTCGTAACCCCCCCGACGAGAAACAAACGAGCGTAACGTTTAAACATCGAGCGTCGCGCGGATAAATTCGGTCCTCGCGGTAAATTGCTAGCTCATTTTCATCTTTGCGCGCGCTGGAAACGACGACGCGCCCTAATGAAAAGTAACATGGATCGTAACGCTGCGAGATTGGTACGGCGTAGCCGAAGGAACGGTGCGAGAAAATGAAAAAACAGTGAGAAAACAGCAAGCATAATTAGCAAACGGGCCGGGCCGCCTCGTGTTTCTGAATTAAACAGTAATTAAAAGTTCAACAAATACGAAGGAATCACGAGCTTCGAGCAACGCGCGAAAGTCCGATAAAGTGTCTCGCGTCCTCGGCGGGGCATGCGATTCCGCTTAAAACGGAGAAGTAATTAAAAATCGTTTCGACGCCTTCGTCCCTCTCGCTGTCGAGTCTCGCTGCAAATTCCAATCGACGAATCTAAACGAATCGAAAGACGAAAAGGAACCGAAAAGGGATTATTTGAATCTTGTTAGCTTCGATAGACGTTTCACGAGTTAAACAGTTTCGAGAATCTTTTTTCGAAATAAAACAAACTTCTACCAAAGAGAAAAGGAAAAAGAAAGGTTGAAACGAAGGATCCAGAATAAAGCAACTACATGATAGTTGGGAGTTATTACTGTTCCCTTTAATTTTATCAAAATTAAATAGTCTAACTATTGAATTATTGAATCCAGCTTGCCAAACTTTCCTTAAAACAACATCTACTACGGTAGGCGGAAACTTCAAACGTCCACATGCCAGTTACGTCCATAAGTTTCAATTCCCTCTCCAAGGAAGTTGCACACAACAGAAACTTGTAATTCCTCTTTGCATAAGTCTGTTACGTCACAGTCCCGGCACGATCTTACCATTGTAACGTATATATTTAACGTTTCTTAATTAAATTAAACATCTTAAGTAAAATATGATGCAATAGAAAAATCGAACAGATCGTAACTGCAACAGTATGCGTCGCTAATTTAATTTCAACTGGCTACGAAAGGGTTAAACATTCCCCATCACGGCTAAGGATTTGCGACGCGACAAGAACGGAAACCATGCTTTATTCATATTTTCATCAGAGCGTGCTTATGAAAACTGCTGACACCGAAGCTGTTGAGATAAAAAAACACACGCACGATGTCGAGTACGGTAGTCACTCGTTAAAATGTTCAAACTCTGTTCCGTTTCAAGCGATTTGACGGGGAACGGTGGTGAACTTCATTCCTAGAATCGACCTCCGTTATTTCGAATCGACGCCGCGACGCCTAGCGTACACCACTCGACGAGCAGAGTGAACGATGTTCATTGATAAGAAAAATTTCCCAGCTGTCCAATTAGTTTTGAAAAAACTTCGATCGCAAGTTATAGTACTCGAGCCCCCTATCGACCGAAACGAGTGTCATTTGTTTGGAAAATTCGATTTAACGAACACCAGGTAATTTACCGTACAAGTTTGTCGAAATTCTCACTCCCTACGAATTACCGTATCATTGTTTTAAAATGTAAATTTCGGGATCGAAAAGGATTTTACGTGACTGGATCGTCGTCTAAACGCGATTGTTCGCAAACGAGGTTTTTATTGACGCATGGAAATTTCACCATTATTTCGTCGCCGCTTTTATCCCCGACAATGGAACCGCCAGTCCGACGCGATTAAACAAAAACTTGCTCGAAACGACAATGCCAGAAAGACAATGAACGTGTTCTCTGGCGAAAGTGTATTCAACCGCTAGTTAATTTCCTGTTTCGGTGACACCATTTGGTTTGGATAAGTCCCTTCTAAAGCCGCATTCACGGAAGCCTCTCCTGTCTCCGCGATGCTATTTGCAGCGAAAAGAACATAAATCATGGGAGATTAAATGGAGCGGTTACTCCGTTCTCGCACTTGTTGCCCGTTGCGTGTTGCGAAATTCATTGCTCCGCCGAAACATTTGAAATTACGTTATTCGACCGAGATCCAGATTGGCTCTTTAATCCATTTATTTTGAATAGTTCCCGGCGAACTTTATGTATCGCTCGAAACTCGGTATATTCCATTCTATAATACGTTTCGCGGCTTCGTAATCCCTTCCTAAAAGAATTTTCGAGCTCCTTTCAACGATAAACCGCTTTAGGCGGTGTTTACGAGTCTATATTTAAGCGCTTGTGAAATATAGAATAAGTTCGTGAAAGAAGAGTTCGCAACAGACATTAAATTGATAATAAATATTGCGTATTCACATCGTAAAATAACTGCTTTATCTTATGAAATCCAGTTATCCAATCGTTCCTCGATCGTACAAAATAAATGCTCACATGGTCAATGTTATACCCGATTACGGTACATTTGTTAACAACGTCCATTAAAATCTTTAACCCCTAGCTATCGTTCATCGCTATTAAATCGATAATCTTTTAATCGTTTAATTTAAGTAGAAGAAACCCGAGTTCGCGCGAAGCTAAAAAGGGCAATTAGGGATTTTGAGGAACGGAAGAACGAACGCGTAACTAAACGGATAACTTCAAAAGAGTGTCGTGCATTTCCGTTAAATTAACGACGCCCCTAATTGCCGGGAATTTTTCAGGAACTAGGTGGATCATTTCTGCCGTGCACAATGCGACCTGTAGCAGAACGCGTTCGCCGGTTTCTGTTAACGATGCCTCGCTACCTTGGCCCTCGTGTACACGTACGCTGTCCCCCTTTGCGCCGCGTTAATTGAAACACTTTGTAACGCATTCATACCTCCCTGTTATCGCTAACAATGTCTTTTTGTTTCCGGGAAATCTTTGTTCCCTCTCTCTCTCTCTCACTCTTACTCACTCGCCTTCGTGCACGCGATGCACTCGAACCCCGAAAAAAAATGATGCACAACAAACACACGACCGTCGTTTTATTCGCGCGAGATCCTTCCTTCCTCTCCCGGCGATGCTTCTAATCGTGCGTCACTTACCAGATTAAAGGTATCAGGTAAATGGTAACGTCAACGCGTGACACGAATAGTCGTGACCTAACGTGCCATTGTTCGTTCCGATGCTTCGCTCACACCTCCGCCTGTGCGCGACGTAACGACAAAACGACATCAATTATACGCGACGTTATCAGACGTATCATCTAAATATAGTTTACGCGACAATTAATTTCTCGTTCGACGGTTTCATAAATATCGCGGCTAGCGAGCCGACGCGCGATATAAATGAAACGCGTTTTTTCGCTGTTATTTTACGCGGCGCGCTTGTTCGAATGCAAATTTTTTCAATTTCATCGCACGGACACCGAGACTTGACCATTTCCTTCGGTCGACGAAACAATTTCAGCCAGCGATTGGAAAACCAGGGATCGAACGAAACCGTCAACTTTTATAAATAAAAGCTGTTCCCCAACGTTTCGATCCGTCTCTGTTCCGTTTCAGAATTTTCCCAAGAAACATTCGTACTTTCAAGAAGATATTTTAAGATGGAATACAAAAGTTTCGATTATTTTTTTTTTAATTAGCACGTTAACGTAGAATTAATAACCTTCACGCGATTGATTTATAGAGGAACAGACTGGTTTCGGCATTTCCAGATACTGTTCGGCTATGCTCGTTGGACCGTTCAAACGGACAACAGATTGCTCGCCCTTAATTCTAATACTCGGAAATGGTAGCCATTTGCCATTCGGACAGGTTGGCTAATACAGACCTCGTAGGGATCGCGCGAAACTCGAAATTCGAGATAATGCGATAACCGAGTCCGCAACCTGTACGATAGTACAGAGAAAAGTAAAAATGAGTTTATTCCTGTAATATGTATATTACCGGGTGAAATTTCAAATTGAAACAGCCAGCTTTCTTAAAATACAAATTTTCTTCGTCCCCGACGCTTATCCGAGCTTACGATGGCTCTAAAACTCACCGAGCAGTCGTTGACGTAGCAGAAATCACCGGAAGCTGACGTTGGTACCCAAAGATGTTCTCCATTAATTGCACCAGGACCCCAATCGGGCGTCGATCGAGGTTCACGGTGGCCGCCACTCGTTCCGCCCTCTTCTCTCCCTCTGAAACCGCAAGACACTCGATTAGGGAGTGACACTTCGATATCGAGGGCAAATTCTTGCAGCTGACGTTAATTCCTCTACAGAAATCCCATCGCTGCGCGAACAATGCGTGCCCGACAAGAATAGTAACTACTGTCCGCGAAACGGAAATTTGAACCGGCCGTAAAATCGAAAAAAAACCACCAACAATTAATCGATCGAGCGGTAAACAGCACAAATGATTTGTTACGCATCGACACTCGAATCAAAGCCGTTCGACACTGAAATAAAAGCAGCTTCCAGCGTTGCGACATTCCGCCACTCGACATGCTGACCACCAAACTGCGGATCTTCGTGCACGCAGAATATGCAAATAACACATGTCATTTGTGCGCTCAACGTATGCACGTAATGTACGAAAATGTACGTTTATTATGGAGAAGTGGATCCAAGCTAGTGTCTTCGAGAAAAGAACTTGGTTTCGTTCTGTGACGTGTTTGGTCAATGACAAAGTGAAAAGTACGATTATTGGACTTTATAGTAATTTTTTTAACAATTTTAGTGGAAGAACTAGAATCGCGACCACTATGGAAATCGACAAAAATATGCAAAATATACAAATTGAAAGACCCAATTTTAAATCCCTCTGACGTCGAAATCGGTGAGAGTCCCACGAGCATCCGCAGTCCATTACACACAGACGATACGTTAATGCGAATAATGATTAGCGTTAAACAAAAATAATGCTCGTTTAAACTTGAGTCGCTACCTTTGTTCGATCGACTATTTTGCTGTGCGAGTCTTCGTCCTGTGAACACTGTTACTCGTGAATCGTGATTTAAATAAAAACATTGGAGGCCAAAATAAGACGAAAATCAAGAATACCAATCGTGTACCAAAAATTCGTGTAGATGTTGAAATTTTCAAATCGAAAAATTATTTTCGGTTGCTGGGGTCAATTACAATCACTTTTGGGGAATACACATGCCCCCGAAATCCTACGTACTTTCGAGAAAAAAATTCTTTACCGAAAATATACCGTGTGACCAGAAATGTTTCAATAGAAGGATTTTAATGTTTCAAAATGCAAACAATGCGTATTAATAAGCCGAAAAAAGTATATTGGATGTAAGGTCTACTCGTATACCTCGTCTACAGGCGGAACTTTAAACGTTAACAACTCTTTAACGAAGCTTCGATCAACAAATTGCTATTTATGGCCTTTAGAATCTCTAATTAAAATTTTTTCCCAGAGGTGGTCGAACACCTTGTATAGTCGTTGGCAAGCGATCGTTGCCTCGAAATATGCTGTTTAAAGAATGTATTAATGAAATTCCTGATAAATTTCTTCGGGTATCAAAATTGTTCCGTGATTATTCATTGCTATAACTGCGCCTCGCTAGGAGCGAACATTCTTCAGATTTTACTGTTAGGAGGACAAGCAACGGCACGTCGAAACTTCGAGAATAACTTGAACTCGACCGTTGCTCAGTATTTTCGACGGCATAACGACCAAAGAGAGACTTAATACCATCGTATAGAGCCTCCTGAGAGTAGGGGCTCGTGAAAAATTCAAGGACACTTTAAATTTCAGAGACGCAAGCGGAACATAATGCGCGCCGCGCCGTGCAACTTTAACGACAAATGCCATCCCCTGGACTTTGAGTCCCTTTGGACGATTATATAAAAATTTTAGGTTGAGTTCGCGCACAGCTACGTGACTGCTTTCTGCATAATTAGTCCGCGGAAATTACCGGATATCTGGGTCGAACACGAGACAGGGAAACGGAACACGTCGTGACGTAGTTTCACGTGGCCAGGTTCGATACGCACATTTCGAATCGAATCCCATAAATGTTGCGCGAATACGTGCAAAGGTTTCCTAAAGAAAACAGAAAAAGACTCTTGTTCCGTAAAACTTTCGAAAATACAGGGATATTCCGAACGAATTGGCAGCACTGTTTAGAAAAAAGTTTTCATATTACGAATGCATAATTTGAAAACATTATATCGATCGAGCTGTCGCGGTTTCAATTACCGTGACCCGAATTTCGCGACAAATATAGCAATCAAACTCGACATATTCGTACTTGAACGTATATGATAGCTGCAATTAACCACAAAACTCGTAATGGTTTGATCAAATGGTTCGGTACCGGGGCGAATAAAATACGAAATTATCGTTTTGAAGCCTCGGTCGGATTCGAAACGCTGTATCGAAAATATTATGCGACCGCCGTTTGCGAGGCAACGATCGGTCGTAATCGTTATCGAGTCGGAAATTAGTACATTAAACAAAGTTTGCGTAGAGATGAGCGCTGGAATATACTTCTGCGAGCTTGCTGGTTACCGAAACTTAGGAATTTAAAACGCATCGAACGAGAAAATTCCCCTATCCGGTATCCAAGGAATTAATTATGACTAACAACCCTCCAGCGAAACGGGTACATATTACCCCGATATCTTCCACGTTAATGCGCCAAGCATTATATTAATTATACGCGAGACATTACTTTGTCCGTGGAAAAAAATGAACGATCTTAATTACAGAAGAGAAATTACCCACGGCTCGACGCCGTGCTTCGATCAAATGTAATATAAGAAGCGCAAAAATGATTCGAAACTTTAATCCGGTTTCGTTAGCTCCTTGGCAAACGTTTTAAATTAAAGCGACGCTGGGTATCGTGCAAAATCATACTGAAACTTCCATTCGCAAAGTCGCCTGAAAACCAATGTACACGAGTCGAGTTTCAAGTACGAGATTTAGACGGCCAATTCGAACGTCCGTCGCGAAATTCTGTCACGATTTCGGTTCGAAAACCCGTGGATGATCTGCAATGCGCTGTAGCGTTAAAGACAACGTTACTGGTTAGTTCGCGTGGCACGCAATCAAAAAATAGATCGATACCCGTTCGGTCCCTGCGGAGTCACCAGAGCCCGAAGACCGGATCTACGAGAACGACATAAACGTTTCGACGTACCAAATGGATTCTCAACTAGCAATCAGCAATTATACCGAGCACTTCGTATTTACTACTGTACAAGCATTACTGCGATACTGAATATCCCATCTATGTAACCCCCAATGAGCAGTCGCCGTACGTATCATCAAGGCTCGTCATCAGCCCAGTATATATGAAACGTTCCGTCTCTGGTTGAAATACGAATTATACCATTAATTAGAATCTCCGGGCTCGAGAGCATCTACCAACGAATTTCGGGGGACTTTCAATTCCGTTTCTGCGCGATTCCGCGATATTAGATCGAGAAAACTATATATTTGTTACTGGGAAATTATTCTATGGTCCGGAGAAAGATCGATTTTTACCCATATCCTTTATCATCGAAGACTATCAATGAGCATACGATATATGACTAATTTCTACATATGTCTACGACATAAATGACTGCACCGAAGTAGTAAAAACGAGTCAAGCGAAATGGTAATTCAATACAGGAACTCTATTTCATCGTTCCATCGGTAATAACTTAATATCCGGGCTGTCGTTTCATACACGATAATCAAATATTACGAAACAAATTGGAGCTCTGTACTCATCGTATCCGATTTAGTGGTCACCCGATTTAATTACGTATTTGAGACCGTACAAGGATTTCACTGTCGTATCCGGTGCTAAAAATCGAACAGAATAAATTACAGAAATATCGTTTACCCGTGAACGAAAAAAATTCTATCGGAATACTTGTTTGTGAGCGTGGACAGCCCGTATGGAGATTTCGATATCGAACGAAACGAGAAAAACCTTTCGTTGCTCTCGATTACGAAATCGTTCGATCATTATTCGACCAAAAAAAGGAACAATCCGGACGCGGGACTACGGCAAGTAAACGTCGAAGCACGTATAGTTACCGTGCTCGTGAATACGTTCTAAATATAACGGAGGATAGCTGCGGAACTGTACGCTATGTAGAATTACTCCTTTAATAATGAACGCTTTGCAGTCATTAAGGATTCACGAGCACCCCCTCGAGGATACGCGGCTGTAATACCGAACCTGAAAATTTCATTTGCCAATAGACCGCGCTCGGTCCGTCGGTGTGTGGTCCTTTCGAGACCTCTCAATATTCAAAAGTCGATCCCCCTATTGGCATCCACCTCGTTTATCAAATCTGTCGTCGAATGAATCGAGATGTCGAATCCTTAACGAACGAAAGAAATTATTCTTCCTCCGCTACGTAAAATTTACTGTACGAAAATTCTCTCGTCTTCAAAATTTTGTCTTCTTTCCCCATATAACAATGACATGAAATAATTAGCAACCATGTGCAAGAATTTCACTTTTCTAACTATACCGTTTTTCATAATAGAGTAATTTAATAATGGATACCAGCTCGGAAAATTCTTGTAACCTTTCCTTTTTTTCTTCCTCCGTTCTCCTTACTGTATATTATTTAATTTCATTCTCATTACACTTTCTGGGTTAGATTAATAATAACGTGCATCCCCGTCTCTGCATCGAATAAATATCTACTTTTACTTCGAAACGTAATAAAAAGAAGTTATTGTTACAGATAAAACAATACCTACGCAAGTATTGTTTGCGTAGGGGGCCACGGAAGTACAATCTGCTTCGACTATCAGAAGAGGTACAAGTACACGGCGAACGTAATTAGCACCGTCGCGATGTTGTAATCAGTGTTTTAAATGGACGTTTGCATATTCATGCGCCATATACAGCAAACGGACCGGTGTAATAATTTATTATCCCCTAGTTAATTAATCCATATAGAATCCCCCGGTTAATTAAAGCACGCCGAATGGAAAATAAATTTGTCGATGCTCGTACAATGCGTTGATTGCGTTCATGGTTGTTTTCTCAGGCGAGACGGCGTTTCGTCGAATTGGAAATCAATTTTTAACTTTTCACGCGTCCAAGGATCGCGGCGATCTTTTTCAAAGTCCTTCGACGTAATTTCCTCGTCGATCGCGGTTCCTCTTTCTTTTTTTCACGAAGCTTTGTGCGGTCCGGTCATCGGTCGGGACGGAAAATCCTTGAAAG